TTCCGCCGCTTCCGCCGCTTCCGCCGCTTCTGTCGCTCCTGCTTGCTCAGTTGTGACATTGCTGACCCCTTTCTCTCTTCATTTGCTCCTTTTTTCCGCGCTGGACAGGGCATCGTGTACAGTCTGGATTCGAGCCGCCATCCGACGCTTCCCTAGGCGCGCGCTGCGTGGATCATGTATTGGTATTGTCTTTTGGTTCAGAGTTTCTTGTTGGCCTTGTCTTCTTTTTCCTGCTTGATCTGTTCGAGGCGTTTGCCGCGCTCACGCTCCTCGTCGATGGCCTGTTTGGTGAGCTTGCCCTCGGGGTCTTCGGCGACGTGCTTCATGGCGTCGAAGTCGAGCTGCTCGGTCTGCGTCTTGAGTCGGTTCTGCTGTGCATGGTCCAGACGAAGCTCCTTGTCCTTGAGCAGGTGGCGCGAGCCAAAGAACAGAGCCAGACATACGATGCCGCCGGTGAAGAGGAAGAGCGGCGTGATTTCGGGCCGGTTGACGACCTGCTTGAGCTGCGTTGCGTTCGGTTCAACAGAATGGGTCAGATGCGCAGCTTGACTGCGATTCGAAGATGGGCGGCACTTACGCTTTCGCCTTTGGCACGAGACTGGTCGTCTAGTCGCGCACGCGTGGTGGACAGCAAGCGGTTGCCGGTTGTGGTGCTGAGGGGCGCGCGCAGCAGGCTGGCGCGCATCGCTGTGGCCGTGAATGGGGTGATAAGAGATCGCATGTCGCTCAGATGTAGCCGCAAAGATGGTGCGGGAGGAAGGGTGAAGGGTGATGATTGCGGAAAGACAGGAGCGGGACTGGACGGTCGAGTGAGTCCTAGACAGCCCCCCGATCGTAGCCAGATGACCCAGACTCGGCGCCATGAAGCCGAAGTTTCTCCATCGCCCTTGCGTGGCTGGCCATGCTGCGAATGAAGTCATCCTACATCGAGCCATCGACTGCGACAGGCTCGACCATCCTCCACATCTGCTTTTTCTACCCCCAACAAAAGACGCGCCCTAACAACGTGAATTGCGCCAAAAAAAAA